GTGAAAGTATGAGACATATACTGAAGTCAGGGGAGCACTTATTTTCCTCATATTTATGTTTCGAAGGGGACAAAAAAAGCGCTGAAATGACTAAAAATCGTCTGCCAATGCAATATTTTCTTTCGTATCTGCTAACAGGAAGTCGAGAACGAGGAAGAAGTAGAAGCTAACAGGAAGTCTATTCTATTATTTTGAAAACGTGGATCGGCTGAGAATTTTGTATCTTTTCATTACTGGATTGGAATAGATAGCGAGCCACTCGAGCCGTATTTTGCGGGTCTCGATCCAGCGAGGCCAGGTCCGCGAGCCGCAAAATGCGGCTCGTGGTAGGGAAAGTGTTAAGCATGTCACGTTCACCTCCCTCGGGTTCACGGTAAAAGAGTCGCTTAAAATAGTGGCAAGAAAATGAACCAATCACAATTCACATGAGCACTCCGCTGAATTGTTCCGGGGATCACATAATTTGGCATAGAATGTGTGTGTCTATCACAGAGAGTGTGCAGTCTATCGCATTTATTTTTAGACTGCCTGCAGTGGGCTATGTTTCGTGGGTGCACATTTGAGATGTGCCGCCTTAAAAAATTAAAGTACCGCTAAACTCGCTACGAGTGTCGTTATCGCTTGAGTTATCCCAAATACCGATTTATAGGTCAGGTTACCACTGTTGAATATCATGTTTAGTTTAAGCGAGTGGACTTAGGCATGGCATAGTAGATGTTTTACGGCGCTTTTGACACAGAAATGACAGTTAAGGACCTTGTTTTGAAATAATATTTATTGGCTAGTGTTTGTTTCTGACTTCTTTTATTTCATGTTTGAGGATGCTTTTCATACAGAACATTAAAAAATTTTGGGCGGCACTGCACGACTATTCTCTATGGACGAATATTATATATATACATATCTATAAAGGTATAAAATTCTACAAAATATCCTTCGCAGAGAAACTGGAACTGTTCCCAGCACCGCTTCTCATACACATTTTGCTTACGCATGGCTTTGTCAGTCGTCACAGCTCACCAATGACAATTTTTGGTGTCAAAACCAGTTACAAGAAATTAATTTTATAGCAACACTTTTGCACTAAAAGTTCTCAAAATATGCGTTCAATAAAGATTCTTGCGATAAGAAAAAAATGACGGACTTGTTTTAAAAGCGATATTGACCCATCTAAACATTTTAAAATCAGTAAGGCCCATATATTAGAGACTACCCACTGGGATTTTTTTACGAAGTGACTATTTCTCAGAACGCTCTGGTAAATAAACCTAATCTCTATATTTTCTCCGAACGGTTTCTGTTCTTGAAATTTTTGGTTATTAGTTATTTGGGGGAGTTCGGCGTCATCTTTCATTCTGCCATTCTCTCATTCTGCGAGAACTGGGAAGAATTGCTTTTTATGCATTGAATTCAATTTCCAGAGCTGAAAGATTTTTAGCATGTCTGATTATTCAGATACTTCAATTGTGGTTGGGGCAAAGTTCCTGATACTTCATTTGGAAATGCGTTCAAAAGGTAGTGCGAGAAAACAAGACTGCTCGACTTTGGCAGTAATTTTCGCAGTCACCCCTAAAACAAAGACTAAAAAAAAAAAACCCTCACGCCCTCCCCTCCCCCCCGGCCACCTCCGTTCAGACCTTACACACACACACACACACACACACACACACACACACACACCCAAACACACACATGCACACACACACACACGGGCCACTCCATTCACATATGACCAAAAAATCTCGAGACCGGAAAAGAGTTCAAGTTTAATTATTTTCCCCGAGCGTTCAGAGAAATAGAGCCAACCATTTTTTTATTAGTAGGGCCTGGCCTATATTAAAATTTATAAAGAATTTTTCTAGAATAGAGCTACCAGGTGTATAAAAAAATATTGATCAGTTCAGATACAAATTGATTAAAGGTAAAGGCCTCCTAGACTATTCTCGCCCCAGTGGGCGTTCACCGTTATAACCAAGGCCAACCAGTGAAGCATTCACCCTGAACCACAGAATTCTACACTGTGATAACAGAATTATAGAATTCTGTGCTGTGAACAAACGTTCTAGATCTATTATTACTGTTAGTGTTAGTGTTAGCCTAAAAGTGTGCAATTTTGTCTTGGAGAAAGAGAGAGAGAGAGTGAGTAGCGCGAGAACTTCGAGGCAAAACAAAATGGCGACCCGCATAGTTCGGCTCGATTCGGAAAGTTAAATAGCCGTAGCATCGTTGTAGACAACCAAATTAATTTAGTTTTCTTTTTTAACATTGTTTTGATCAATTTGATCGTCCACACCGATAGACAGTATTCAGAAAGAGACAGAGAGAGAGAGAAGGGGGAGAAGTAGATCTGCCGTCGTAAGGGAAAACAACGAATGGTCAAAATTTTTCGATTTTTGTATTTTTACATATTTCATAGAGTATTTAATTCTACATCTGATGGTGTAAAAATTTTGGTCATATCCTAATCCGTTGTTGCGTAATTGAAAGTTCGTCGTTTTCCCTTACACTGGCGAGCTCCGAGCCAGGGCTCAGTGTAAGGGAGAACGACGAATGGTCGATCGGTCAAGGATCACTGCTCGTTCGGCGTTGTCCCCTGGTCTCTGCCATTGGGCAAATTCGGCATGGCGACGAATGACAATTGGTCACTGTTGCGTCAGTACAAACATACTAGGTTTTTTTCAAACAAACACAACACCACCCCTCCCCCGGAGTGCCGTCAACCAGGTTTATAAAAATGTATCACTTAGTGTGTCTTTCTGTCTGTCTTCAGGTATTACGCCTATGCTGATTGTGTGAATTGAGAAGAGCAGGTGGGAGAGAGGGGAAAACGGATGGGAACAGGGGGAAAGGGGTGGGAATGGGAGGGTCAAAAATGTATTTAGGGAGAAATTATTAAGACTGCATATTAGCGTCTGCCAGATGTTCACAGACTAACGTCATTTTGTTTGCTGTCCAGTCATTTGACATACCAAATCCCAACGATGGTTATAGTGCCGCAATTTGTCTAGCACATGTCACTGGTCGACATCCTAGAATTACCAAGCAATTAATGACACTGCTTTATGAGAGTAAATTTCTTTGTCCAACTTAAAAAGTGGACGTATTGTGGCGACACTTATTCTTGCTTTACGATTTTTTATGACTTGATGGACGTTACGATCGAGTATAATAATGTCTTGCAGATTCAAACTGTCCTTGTCGATCTCTACTTTGTGGTATGTTTTCCGATCAACTGAATCCTTTATTAAATACAAAGCGTCGCATTACCTCTCCCGTAAGCGTTTGTGATACAGTCTTGTCAGATTGTTACATTTTTTACGAGAAAGTTTGACTTGGCAATGATCTGATCGTTATTGACATTGTAACATTGTTGATCCCTTTGGTCGTGCAGGGAAAATTTTGCAATTAGCGAAAAAAAAAGTAAAACTCGCTTCTGAAGAGAATATATGCAATAAAGAGATATCATGGAGATCACACTTTTGTTCCGAATGAGACAGTTTTAAATCAAGCTGTTGAAAATGTGCGCACATCTGATCTGTACTCTGACTGTGTAGTATTTAACCAAGCGAGGAAGGCAAACGAAGGACGTTTATCCCAGTTACAGTTGGGATATAACAAACACCTAACTATACGTATAATAGCTAGTTTGTATATACGTCTTAATTTTATTTGTAGTAACCAGTACACAGTCATTACTGTCAATAATGCGTCACAACTGACCATCGCCTACTCCCATAACGTTCACGAGTGTAAAGGAGAACGACGAACCGTACCATTCGTCGTTTCCGCGTACATCGCAAGGCTCACCTACGGGTGCGCAGTGTAAAGGAGAACGACGAATGTCGAATAACTTTGCTACTTTTTAACCTAAACCATTCAAACTTTAGAAACTGCTTTATGAACACCTCAGTCAGATATCTGGTGAATTACAGCTTAAAAGAGTGAAAAATAGAAGAGTTATAAAGTGAAAACAGTTTTTGCCTCTCCTGAAAAATTTGCCTTGCTACCTCCGCAGGACCATTCGTCGTTTTCCCTTATGACGGCAGAGATCTTGCGAGAACTTCTGGGCAAAACAAAATGGCGACCCGCGTAGTTCGGCTCGATTCGAAAAGTGAAATAGCCATAGCATCTTTGAAGACGATCAAATTAGCTTACTTTTGTGCTATAAATGTAATTTTTTCTTGGCTTTTATCAATTTGATCATCCACACCAATAGACAGTATTCCAAAATGAGGAAAAACAGGTCTTGTTTCACACTGGGTGAGAATAGCCTACACTGGCAAGTCTCACCCGGGGTGAGAGGTAGATCGTATATTCTCACCCCGGTGAGAATAGCCACTGTGCAAAAGCTGGAGAGTTCGATAGTTGAGGAGATATTTGACAATAAATAATGTAATAAATAATCGAAGTGGCTAGCCGTACTTAAGTACGGCTAGACTGCAAGTCTAGCCGTACTTAGATCTAGGTTTGGCCCTATCGACTCAAGCCTGTTAAGTACACAGGTCTCATTAGATCTAGATCTAGATCTAGTAATTATTCAGGTTCAAATGCATGCAAGTCAGTAAGGCACCTTTTTGTTTTGTCTGAAATACAAATACTTTAGGCATTGCAAACTAAAAATTTCATTTACAATTTAGCCATCAATATTAAGTACGGCTAGCCTGACAGTCTAGCCGTACTTATCTTAGGCCCTATTAACATTAGAAAACAGGAGGTTTAAAATACATGCACTGTCATTTAGGCACCTGGTTTCGTCTCAAATACAAATACTTTAGGTACTGCACACTAAAAAGTATATTTACAATTCAGTAGGCCTATTTTTTGTTAAATGGTCAGTCTAGCCATCATATTAAGAATAAGTACGGCTAGACTGCCAGTCTAGCCGTCATTAAGTACGGCTAGCCTCTTCCTAAATAATAAGTTCTCTTGAATTTTCGACCGCACTGCATGTAGGCCCAATAGATAGCAGTAAATTTTGTTAATCAGAACGAGAAACTTACAGTTGATCGTGGCTACAGAGCAAGACTAGAACGACATCGATGTTCGACAGGTCACTTTCGTTCGTCTTCTATCACTCTGTTCTTCAATCACTGTGCGTTGCGTGCTCCTGCACTGCTCAGTCTTCGAAGTCTGAGACAGACCTTTCTGGAAACTTTTCACTGCAAGTCACGTCGAAAGTTTTCTTGAGAGCCCGACAGCCAAAAACTGCAAGCAATGGGCCTAATGCAACCGGGCGGGTTGATCTTCGGCTTGAATATAATGTCCTCCTCTGACATATAGGCTAGGTCAATCTAGCCTGGCCTAGACAAGGCTAGCCTAGATCAAGATACCTGCATTCTCTTACCCTGCAAGCTGTTGTGCGCAGTGCGCAGAAGACTGCGCTGCGTACTGCGTACCAAACGAGATTTCCCAAGAAAACATGTTCTTGACCCATAGATCTAATAATAGCCTAGTGTTGTAGAGGCCGGATCGGGAAAACCACGAATTACATTTTCGATAAAAATAGATGACATGGGCTATTTAGAGCCAAGACGGATTAATCCGGATTAGAGTTAGTCTTCGGTAGTGCTGGGCGGCTAGGTTACCGATTATTGAAAGCTAGGAATAGTAGATTAGTAGGAACCCCAATTACTTACTTTCTAATGATGTGATTTCCCCCGATGGTTACCTGGTTGGCTCCAAACATCTTCAGGATTTAGGATAACCATGATTTAGGAACACTAAGAAGCATCAATTTTAATTTTTCAAAAATAAATTCTTTCTTTAAAAAGCAGAAGATTTTAATGATAAAAGTAACTGGCAACCGTTGGTTACTTCCGTAGCTTTAATCGAGGGAATCGGTTCTGGAATCGACTCTTCGCCCTGCTCTAGTCTTCGGTCTCTGGGCTTTGACCAAAGAGCAAGGAGATTAAAAGTAATGGAGGATGCTCTGTGGGCGGCACCGCACGCCTGATAGTGATAGGAGCCCTCTCTCGCGGCGGAACCGTGGGCTACCTGTGCTGCGCGATTGCCCGACTAAGGCACTGAAATCTAGATAAGAAAGAAGGTTTTATTCCGAGGTCCTTCAGATTAGGCAAGTCAATTAGTAAAAATGCCTTGCATCTGTGTTGTATTTAAGTGTAAGAACCGATATGATGCTGCAGTGGACCAAAGTTTTCACAGTTAAGTTGTTTCCCTTTTTAAAAATTTGAATGAAAGTGTTTTTATGCCCCCAGCAACACAATTTAAATCATTAATTCATAAGAGGCTGGCCCCGGCGCTTACATGCCAATGCCAACCCAGGCTGAAAGGGATACAACACCCCAGCAGAAAGACTGAGATACTCAATTTTTAAAAAGTATTCTTATTCATAAATATATATATATATATATATATATATATATATATATATATATATATAATTATTATGTGTGTGTATGTATATACACATTATACATTTTAATTAAAGATATTGCTTTCCTTTGTGTGTGCAAATTGGATGCTACTGTAGTCTAAATGTAGATATCTAGAGGCTCCATTAGAACATGAAATCAATACTCAACAACAATAATGATGAATATTTTCTATGTTAAAGAAACACCAAACCATATCAGATGAGGGGAGAGGGTAGGGTGGGGTGGATAAGAGTTTGAGTCTTGCTAGATAGAACTATACTCGGTTTAATTATATTGTTGTAGTCTTCACTTAAGATCCCACAATCAATAATTCCGGTTCACTTAAGATTCTGCTGTTAAAAAATAAACTAAACAAAGCAACAACAAATTTTTTACTACACAAGAGTCATCACTAAGATAAATTATCCCCCTCTGGAGTGTAATAAGGGACTAAAAACGCTGCTCTCCATATCATACTTTACTGAACAAACAAAAAAACCCTTCAAAGGTTATCCACCCTCATGCATGCGATCACACCTCCAAGGGTGCTGTTATCTCTCTTTTTTTTTTTATATTTGAAATCATTGTGCGCTCCACTTTGTGAAAACCAGGAAACAAAATTATTGTGATCAATAAAATTGTTTATAGACCAAGACATACTGTTAGCAATTAGATAAAGCAAACATCGACACTCTTTTGTGTCCGCTATTCCTTACACATAAAGTTAGTTATGGCACACGCCTAGAATCATGCAATCGCAATACCGGTATCTTAAATTCAGTTTAAAAGTATATTTTTATCCATTTCATATAATTAAATATTTTAGCATCTTGAAAGATTATCTTTATAATTTGGTATGTTTGATAATTTTATGTTACTCTGACAAGTTTTCTTCTTATTTTACACATCTTTTTTTTATTTTTAAACTAGATTATAACTTAAAACTCTTAAAGAATTGAACAGTCCGTATCCCGCACATAATTTTTTTTTTCTCCCTGTCATTATCCGTCAGCCCGTCAGTTGATCACAATCTCTCTCTCTCTCTCTCTCTCTCTCTCTCTCTCTCTCTCTCTCTCTCTCTTTTTTAAATTTAATTTTTCCCATTCTCCTTCGTCCCTTCCCAAGGCCCGCCCCTCCTCTTTCATCCCAGCCCCATCCCCTCTTCCTTGCGTGCATTCCCCCACCCCGCCGCCCCCACAACGTGGCCCAGCCCGATAAGATTCTATAAAAAGAAACGCCCCAGTTTGTGATTTAGCCCACACTCGGTCGCCATATTTGATCCCCACCGCGGCGTACTGCTCGCGGCGCCGCGAAGAGAGAGAGGAGGCTCCATTAGTTCTAAACTCCTTGACTTGGATACAACTTATTCGTACAAGAATGTTATTATAAAGCTTGAACCTGTGATAAATACACACTAAAATGCTATACTGAAAGTGTAACGACTGACCACACATTCTGTACAAATAGAAGGAGGGAAAAAATAAATGTTTTCAGCTCTTTAGTTTTAATAGTGCTTACTCGTGAAAACCAGCCGCAAAAAAACCTTGAATCTGTAAAAAAATTCTAACAATGTATTGGTTGTTAAGACAAGGCATACACAAAGACTAGCAGATTATAACCATTTATAAGAGTGTAACGACCAACCTCGCAATTTACACAAATAGTATAGAGAAACAAGGACAAAAGATGATTTCAGCTTTAGAGAGTGCCTATAGACTTGGATAAAGCTTATTCGTACCAAAATGTTATTATAAAGAATGAAACTGTGAAAACGGCTAGACCTGCTCAAAAACTACAAGTTTATAACAGTTACAGAAAGTGTAACGACTGACCACACAAATCGTACAAATAGTTGGAGAAAGAAGAACAAAGGATGATTTCAGCTTTTTACAGCACAAATATGCTTTTATAGAGCTTAGTCGTGCTAAACACACAGTGTAAACCCTCGAACCTCTGGTAAAACACAAACTTGTATTGTTTGTTACAACTAGGCATACAAAAAGACTCACAGATTATAACAATTACTAAAAGTGTAACGACCCATCACATAATTTACACAAATAGCAGGAGAAACACGAAATAAAGATGATTCCAGCTTTAAAAAAGCACGTTTCGACTTAAAAAGAGTTTATCTGTGCTCATATTTTATTATAAAGCTTGAACCTGAGAAAACACACAACAATGTATTGGCCTGCACAAAAACTACAAGTTACTACAACCTGCACAAAAACTACAAATACTGAAAGTATAACGACTGACGGCGCAATTTACACAGATAGTAGGAAAATCACGAAATGAAAATGCTTTTTAACTTTAAAGAGCATGTATATACTTGGATAGCATTTAGCCGTACAAAAATTGTATCATAATATTGCAACCTGTGATGAAACTCAGTAATACATCCGTTGTCCCAACAAGGCCTGAACAAAAACAACTAGTTTATAACAATTACTGAATATGTAACGACCGACCACAAATTGCACAAATAGTTGGAAAACCAAGTACATAAGATGACTTTAGGTTTTTAGAGCAAAAATAATATGCTTTTAAAGAACTTAGTCGTGCAAAACAACCATGTAAATATCTCAAAATTCTGGAAACACACAACAATGGGGCATACACAAAGACTCGTATATTATAACCATTACTAATGTGTAACAAACGACCTCAGATTTCCCACAAATAGCCGGAGAAACACGAATAATGGTGCTTCTAGTTTCAAAGAGCGTCTATAGACCTGGATAGAGCTTGTTTATGCAAACATCTTATTATAAAGCTTGAACCTGTGAAAAATACAATAATCTATTGATTGCACAAAATCTACTAGTTTATAACCAGAACTGAAAGTGTAACGATCAACCATACATTTTGTTCAAATAGGACGTTTTCAGCTTTACAGACCACAAATGTGCTTATATAGAGTTTAGTCGCGCAAAGCAGCCATGTACAGCCTCGAACCTGTGATAAAACTCAGCAATGTATTGGTCGTTACCACAAGGCATAAACAAAGACTAACAGATTTGAACCATTAATAACAGTGTAACGACCGACCACACAAGTCAAGGAAGTATTACGAGAAACATGAAATAAAGATTAATTCAGCTTTTTATAACATAAATATGCTTTTAGAGAGCTTTATCGTCTCAAACACCCATGTCAAGCCTGGAAACTCAGGTAACAGACAACGATGTATTGGTTGTAATAACTTGGCATAAACAAAGACTGGCAGATTAAAACTTTAACAAAAAGTGTTAGGACAGACCCCAAAATTTACATAAATAGGAGAAGAAAAACGAAATAATGATGCTTCGAGCTTTATAGAGCACGTTTCGACTTAGACTGAACTCATTCGTGCAAAAACGTTATTATAAACCTCAAACGTGTGTTTAAACACAACAATGCCTTGGTTGTCACTGCGAGGAGTGCACAAAAAAACTATTACTTTATAACCATTACTCAAAGTGTAAATACCGTTCACACAATTGTTCAATAAATAGTAGGAAAAAACAAGAAAACAATAAGCTTTCAGCTAAAAAAAAACCCAGATAATATCTTTTTATAGAGATTAGTCATACAAAACAGCCAATCAATTAAAACCTCGAATCTGTGGTAAAACACAACAACAATTTGGTTTTTACAACAAGATATACACAAAGACTAGCGGATTATAATCATTACTAAAAAGTGTAACGACCGACCATACAATTTGCAAAGATGGTAGGAGAGACAAAATAAAAATACCCTCATCTTTGAAGAGCTTGTATAGACTTGGGCCTATGCACGTCCGTCTGTATGGTGGACTAACCGCGTTTATCCCCTCTAGGGGCATTTAGGCTGGAAAAATCTGTATGAACGTCAATCTGGTTAGCCTATCCTATATGGATTTTCGCGTTTA